ATCTACAAGATGATCATATAGGTCACACAACTTTTTGTTATTAAAACTAAAGCTAAGCACGAATTTAAAGATATCTTAAATTCCTGTTTATTTATTGCTTTATATTTGAACTATAAAATCGAAATTATATCACTTGCTTTAACAGAAATTTGACTATACTTTACGTCTGCCAGGACTTTAAACACATGCATGCTATAATTGTATCTGCTCTAAGATTACATCTTTTTGCAGCTATCAAATCAGTTCCACCGGAAACTACTGGAATGCTGGTTGCTTTATTAATCATCAAAATCAACTTATTAGTTAATGTAATGTTAATAATTAAAATAATAATTCATACACATACCCGTAATTGCATGGTGTCTCTAGCAATTTTCGCTAAGTGAGCATATACTACCTCATTCATCTAACAAAATTATATAAACATAATCAATATTAATGCGTAATTGATATGTGATTAGTGATTTTAATGATCATCCGGGTCTAATTCAGGTCAAAACTTGAGTCAAGGAAATGAATGACCCGACCTGACGGGTCAGGTTATGCGGGTCACGGGTTATTAAAATTGTTAGTACCGACCCGATTTAAAATTCACTCGGGTTGAATTATCCGGGTTAGACCCAAATTTTGCGGAGCACTAATATTTAGTATGATATTAAGTATGATATTTAGTACATGGTATTTAGTATTTGAAAAAATATCAATAATAATTATGCTATCGTAGTTTATTTATAGCTTAATAAAAAAATATCAGCACGATAAAAAAAGCATGATCCTATTTGGCTGTAGGATAAATATACATATTATACCGAAACGTAAGAAAAACGATCAAAACATACAAAAAAAAATAAAAATTATCGCCAATTGATGTATTTATAATATTAAATATACACAAAAATTCTCTATTAAATCTAGGGATGGCGTTATTAACCGGTCAGTCATACATCTATCTATATTACTGTAAAAGTATATCTAATTAAAATAATTTAATCAAATAATAATTATCAATGTTTAAACTAGAAGTTTTTATTTATTACAGTATATATGAATTTTCAAATTTGATTATTTCCATTTTACATCATTGCTGATTATTGGCGCACACTAACCATATTTGTTAACATCAACATTGATAAATGCGGCAACAATGAAATTAAAATTCTCACCTTCCTACAAATTTAAATAAAAAAAAAAAAAAATGTCAACAGTATTTCTTTCAAAACTAAGTCAAAATTATATTGAATTATTGACAGATAATAAATATTGTGACGTTACAAATGAAGTTGGTGAAGACCCTAATGTGAAAATCCTTCGTGCTCATGTAAATATTTTATGTTGTCGTTCTCCATATTTACGACGAACGTTGGCTTCTAATAAAAAAATTAAAAATAATGGTTTAACTCATATTGAACTACCAAACATATCACCTGAAATCTTCCAAATTATTTTAAAGTAAGTTTTTATATACAATAAATTAATATGTTATATCATAACATCAAATTCAAATTCGAAATTTATATTTTTTTGTATAGGTATATTTACGGTGGTATTCTTTCATTAAATGATCATGACAATTTAGAGATTTTTAAGGTATTATTAGCTGCGGATGAACTACTTATTCAAGAATTAGTTGATTATTTACAAAAGTATTTTATTGAAAATAAATCTAAATGGATGGAACATCATTTTGGATTTGTTCATCAAGCAAGCTTTCAATCAAACTCTTCATTGAAACTTTAAAAATTTTGTACAGATTTCATGTTAAAATCTCCAGAGAAAATATTTAAATCGCTTGATGTCACTTTACTTCCTGAAAAAACTTTAGTTCAAGTCATTCAAAGAGATGATTTACAAATGAAAGAAGTTAAAGTTTGGGAACGTGTATTAAAATGGGGTCTTGCTCAAAATCCCAAAATTTTTTCAGATCCTAATACTTGGTCAAATGATGATTTCAAAACAATGAAAAATACTTTAAAAAATTGTCTACCTTTTATTAATTTCTTTAATTCATCACCTAAAGATTTTCAATTAGTTCGTCCTTATGAAAAACTCTTAAAACTTCGACTTTATGAAGAATTATTAAATTCTCATTTGGTCTCTAATAGTAAGCCGATCGTTGGTACTATAATTCCAAAGAATTTTACAATTGATGGAAATATTGATTCAAATATTGTTTATAATTTAGGAATTATTACAACTATTTTGAATCATATTGATGATATGGATATTGATTCTGCTCATTTAAAGTTTCGATTATTGTTAAGTGGAAGCCGAAATGGATTTACTCCTAAAAAATTTCATACATTATGTGATAATAAATATGAAACTATTACTTTTATTAAAGTAAAAGGAAAAGATGAAATAATTGGTGGTTATAACCCTTTGGTATGGAAATCTTCTGGTAGTTGGGGTCTAACTAAACATAGTTTTATTTTTTCTTTCAAAGGAAATGATATTAATAGTTTAATTATTAGTAATATAGTAAATGCAGAATGTGCATTGAATCATGGTGTTTATCGCGGTCCATGTTTTGGTCAAGATATTGTTATATATTCTCGTAATGGTGAATTTCAAAATTATAATTATAATTATTGTGAAAAATGTTATTATGGAAAACAGATAAGAGATACTAAATATCAATTTACTATAGAAGATTATGAAGTATTTAAAATTATGGTTTAGTATTAATTTAGATTATATTTTTTATATTTAAATTTATTGTTTTTTTTTCTGAAATATTAAAAGATTGTTTGTTTTGTATTTATTAATAAAGTAACGTTATTTTTTGCACATATCCTTTTTTCTTAATTAACGTTCTAATTCTTTACAATTCAATTTAAACCATCACAAATAGTTATATGGATTAGAATATTGTTTTCATCATATGGATGCATAAACGATGAATTTAATTTTTATTATTTATATTCCTCTACGTATAAACATACTTTTATAAATTGATAGTATGTAAAATGGGCATAGTAATGACATCCCATGTGACAACAGCGACAACATACATACTTGATAAATAAAAATGAACTGGCCAAAATCATTACACATATGATGATTTTGCAAGTTAGTCCGTGATTGTCATAATTTTGACGAGCTCAATTTTAAAATGGTTAAAGCAATCTGCTGAATTTAGAATCAAGTTCCAAAACTGACTTGAGTCGACTCATTTTGAGACATCTACAAGTTCAATGTTATTATAATAAAAAAAAAAAATTTTTTGTTAATGCGTACTGGAATTGCACTATTAACAGATGTACCTAGTGATGGGATTTTTTAATTATTAAGTTAATAATTATTTTTAATAATAACTTAATAAGTACTTATTAGGTAAATCGAAATTCTTGCATTTTTAACCTATGTAAATTAATAAGTAATTAATAAGTAGTTAATAATAAAATTAAATATAATTGGTCAAAATAAATCACGTAAAATCTCTAATGAGTCTGATGAGATGATTATCAGATTATCTTTTTTTTTTAATTTCGCTACGTATTTTGACAGTTTGAGAACTTTGAGTATTTCTACAATTTTACTTTTTATATATATTGATAAATCAAAGCTTAAAATAATGCCTCCAAAGAAACAAGGTAGAAAGAAAAGTCCAATTTGGCTTCATTTTATTGAAAGGCCTTTACTCAATAGTTCTCACCATGAAGCAAAATGCAAATATTGCTTTGGAAAAATGGGTGGCATATTTACTAACATGTTAAAACATCTTAAAGAAGACTTGAAATTTTTAATCCACAATTAATTAAAACAGTACTAATTAAGGAATTAATTACATATTATAAATATAATAAATAATTTTTTTTTTCTGGTTTATGCGATATAAAAATATTGTGTCACATGATATTATTAAAATTGACCAATCAGAATTTTTAGCATTAATAATTCGATTTTTAACTTAATAAGTAATTATTAATTAAAAAAGATTCAAAATAATTTTTAAGTCCCATCACTAGATGTACCAAGAATGTAGCAAAATAATGTAATTTTGGAAAGTAATGTTATTTGTATAACTCTGTAATTTGAAAATTCTGGCACATTAACCAAGGCTTACTCCAAAATTTGAACTGTTGACATTTTGCTAGAGAAGGGAGGGCCTGACAAGTATGACTTGCTTCTCCATAAGATCACAGATCAACTCTCATTAGAAAGACCTTCAGATCAGAAGGTAATGATGTATTACCAGGTTGATGATAGTGATGACATTTGTTGAAGGAATTTCATTTATAACATTCCATATATAGCTTTTGAGATCTCCAAAAGTGAGTTTATCCTTATGGAATTCTTGATTATTAATTGTGGTCACCTTGGAATATCTAATACTTTTGCATTTCCAGACTTTAATAACTCATGGATCGGGGAAGAAAAATTATTTTTCCAAACAAATCTGCATATGTTGTGTTGTAAATGTAATCTTTCAACTGTAATAAAAATATTACGTGAAGGTTTTTATTATTTTACAAGGTAAAAAATTAAAAAAAAAGAAATGTTAATCGGAATAAGTTTATTAAGAGGATGAGTTAAAATGACAAAAAATAATTGCTTACAAGATGAGCCAAAATTAGGCACAATTACAATTTACCTTAATTTTATTTCTTTTTATGCTAATGAATTTGTTCAAGACCTTGATTTTTTTCAGCAATCAAAAAAGCCTGTTATTCCTTTTGCAGAATTACGACTTCAACAACTCACTTCTTATATTGAATTTAAAAGAAATTCATCTAATTTTGGCTCTTTGGAAAATCTAATTATTCAACTTAGATTTAATCCAGAAGATTTTTATGTTATTTTTCGGTTAGCATTTATAATAAATTTGCTGTACATATTCCCAATCATCCAGCCTGACGCCTCTTTTATTCATGCCAAGTCTTTGAACCTAAATATATTTATACTGAAGACATTTCACAAAAAGATATTCGGCAATATAATGCAATTCATGAATTTGCTAATCCACCAGATGAATTATTAAGAGAATGGGGAATTTATTGCAGACTAGGTAACAATGAAGTTCTTGGCGAAATTGAATTAAATCAATATTGGTTAAATAAGCCAAAATTGCTTTAGAATATATTTGGCTTCCAGTATCAAGTTGTAGTGTTGAACAAAGTTTTTCTATGTATAATTCTCTTTTAGATAGTGACCGTCAAAATTTATCTCAGGAATCTCTCAAAAAATTAAATATGATGTACTTTAATGGCATTAAAACTTAACTTTTAATAAAAAAAATAAAAAATTTTTAAAATTTTAATTAAATAATTTCAAATAATGCTGTGTTTTTATAAAATAATATCACATAATATAAAAATTTTTGAAAAAAATCATATCACATATTTTGGTTTTAGCACATACATAATTTATATTTGAGCACATCATAAAATCATCGTCCCTGAACCGAACCGTAACCGAACCGATAAAAATTGGTTATAATCGGTTATAACCGAACTTTTGGCATCCCTAAACGTAAATAGTACTATAGCAGTTGTATTGAAAGTTTACGTAAATTTAGTAAAAATTTTCAATATTTTATAAAAGGCAGTTGTAGAATAAATTTAGTTTAAATTATAGATAGGTATATTGTTATATATATTAGTATTTTCACAGGTGTATATTTCGCAGGGTGTTTGACAAATAAATAATAAAATAAAGAAAATGACGTAATAAATAAAGAAGATCTCAGTTCTAAGGTATTGGAAAAATAATTGGGAAGAAATCATACGTATGACAGAAAGACACGAAGTTATTCAAAAATATATTACATTGAACGAAAATTTCACCAAAAGGAAGAAAATCGAGGAAAAGATTTAATTAGTGATAGCAAAAAGAGGTTACAAAGTAGTCCTAAGGATAAAGTTGTAAAGAAAAGGTGGAGAGTTTAAAAGAAATAAGGAAAGAGGCAGATATAGACGAATATTTATTTTGAAATCACGTGATTTACGTAAAAAATTTTCCGAATCAAAAGTTAATAATACATTTATCTAGTTAGTTTAGAATATTGTGGTTTTTTTTCTTTTTTGAGAGATAGGATATATTTAAAATCTTATTTTTACTCGCGTATTAGTTGGTTGATCAAGGTCTAGAATTATATGTGAGTGAAATTATTAATTAGCTTGATGTGGCAAATGTTTACAAGAACGAGGTCAAGTTCTACAGTATCAGGATCGACACATCATCGTTAAATCAAGAGCCGACGTCACAAAAATGATTGACTTCGGTTAAATTTATACCGAGCCTATTTTTCTCATCAAACTGAAATTTAATTCGTTCCCTTAGTGTAGTGTCACACAAATGCATGACATGACGATCGCTGCACAATAGCATAAATGCAGCCAATTAATTTAATAAGGAACTTGAACTTGTCTTTATTTTTGCAAACGTTGAAAATTTTATAATGTTATATGATTATGATTACAAATGTAAAAGATGCGGAGAATATAATTATCAATGGGGATGGTGTAAATCATGTCAAATAAATGATTTTAAAAAAAATTTCACAAATTGGACCAGTGGAAATGAAAAAATTGATAGTTTAATTCAGGGAAAGCAATTAGAAATCGATGAATATTATGATATTATAGTTGAATGGATACCATATGATAAGCTCGATAATATTAAAGAGTTAGGAAAAGATGAATTTTCTACAATATATTCAGCAATATGGAAGGATAGTCCATTACAATATGACAAAAAGGAACGTGAATATTCAAGAAAACAGAGTACAAAAGTCAATTTAAGATTATATAACTCACAAAATATTACTAATGAATTTTTAAATGAGGTATGAATCTCTTTATTTAACTTAATTATTTTACGTATAATAACAAATTTTTTTTATTATAATACGCTAAGTTATATTTTGAAAGAAATCATTTATATGGAATAAAATAATAAATTTTCTTTGTTTTATTAGGCTAATAATAATAAACTTAAAATATATGGGATATCCCAAAATTCAGATACAAAAGATTACATTTTAGTTCTTCGAAATGTCTATTGTAATAAATGTGTTAAAATATTTACGAATTATTATGATGTATGGTGTAAATCATGTCAAATAAATGATTTTAAAAAAAATTTCACAAATTGGACCAGTGGAAATGAAAAAATCGATAGTTTAATTCAGAGAAAGCAATTAAAAATCGATGAATATTATGATATTATAGTTGAATGGATACCATATGATAAGTTCGATGATATTAAAGAATTAGGAAAAGATGAATTTTCTACAATTTATTCGGCAATATGGAAGGATGGTCCATTACAATATGACAAAAATGAACGTGAATACTCAAGAAAACAGGGTACAAAAGTCAATTTAAAATTATATAACTCACAAAATATTAATGGATTTCTAAATGAGGTATTAATTTCTTTATTTAACTTAATTATTTTACGTATAATAAATTTTTTTATTATAATACGCTAAGGTATATTTTGAAAGAAATCATTTATATGGAATAAAATAATAAATTTTCTTTATTTTATTAGGTTAATAATAATCATGGACTTAAAATATATGGGATATCCCAAAATTCAGATACAAAAGATTACATTTTAGTTCTTCGAAATGTCTATTGTAATAAATGTGTTAAAATATTTACAGATTATTATGATTCATGGTGTAAATCATGTCAAATAAATGACTTTAAAAAAAATTTCACAAATTGGACCAGTGGAAATGAAAAAATCGATAGTTTAATTCAGGAAATGCAATTAGAAATTAATAGATATGATGATATTATAATTGAATGGATACCATATGATAAGTTCGATGATATTAAGGAGTTAGGAAAAGATGAATTTTCTACAATATATTCAGCAATATGGGAGGATGGTCCATTACAATATGACAAAAAGGAACGTGAATACTCAAGAAAACAGAGTAAAAAGGTCAATTTAAAATTATATAACTCACAAAATATTAATGGATTTCTAAATGAGGTATTAATTTTTTATTTAATTTAAATATTTAAAATAAAATAATAAATTCTCTTTATTTTATTAGATTAATAATGAACTTAAAATATATGGAATATCTCAAAATCCTTATACAAAAAATTATATTATATCATTTCCGGATGGACTTTATTGTAATAAATGCGTTAAAAAATTTCTAGATGATGATTATAAATGGTGCAGATCATGTCAATTAAATACCCTAGAAAAAAATTTTACAAATTGGACCAGTGGAAATGAAAAAATTGATAGCTTAATTCAGGAGAAACAATTAGAAATTAATAGTTATTATGATACTACTATAATCGAATGGATATCGTATGATCAGTTCGATGATATTAAAGAGTTAGGAAAAGATGAATTTTCTACAATATATTCAGCAATATGGAAGGATGGTCCATTAAAATATGACATAAATGAACGTGAATATTCAAGAAAACAGAATAAAAAAGTCAATTTAAAATTATATAACTCACAAAATACTAATGAATTTCTAAATGAGGTATTAATTTTTTATTTAATTTAAGTATTTAAAATAAAATAATAAATTTCCTTCTTTTATTAGGTTAATAATGAATTTAAAATATATGGAATATCTCAAAATCCTTATACAAAAAATTATATTATATCATTTCCGGATGGATTTTATTGTAATAAATGCGGTAAAAAATTTACAGATAATTATTATAAATGGTGTAAACCATGTCAAATAAATGATTTTAAAAAAAAATTCACAAATTGGACCAGTGGAAATGAAAAAATCGATAGTTTAATTCAGGAAAAGCAATTAGAAATCGATAAATATGATGGTATTATAGTTGAATGGATACCATATGATAAGTTCGATGAAATTAAAGAATTAAGGAAAGATGAATTAACTACAATATATTCAGCAATATGGAAGGATGGTCCATTAAAATATGACAGAAAGGAACGTGAATATTCAAGAAAACAGAATAAAAAAGTCAATTTAAAATCATATAACTCACAAAATATTAATGGATTTATAAATGAGGTATTAATTTTTTATTTAATTTAAATATTTAAAATAAAATAATAAATTTCCTTTATTTTATTAGGTTAATAATGAACTTAAAATTAAAATATATGGAATATCTCAAAATCCTTATACAAAAAATTTTATTATATCATTTCCGGATGGATATGATTGTAATAAATGCGTTAAAATTCTAGATAATGATTATAAATGGTGCAAACCATGCCAAATTAATGATTTATTGGAAAATAATTTTACAAACTGGACTAACGAAAAAGAAAAAATTGTCAATTTAATCCAGGAAATGCGATCAAATATAAATTCTTATAACGATATAGTATTTGAATGGATACCATATGATAAGTTTGACGATATCAAAGAGATAGGCAAAGGTGGCTTTGCTAAAGTATATTCAGCAATATGGGTTGATGGTCCATTATTGTATAATAGTGATACACAAAAATATACAAGAAAGCAGGATAAAAATGTTGCATTAAAATGTTTATATAACTCGCAAAATATCACAAGTGAATTTCTCAATGAGGTATGTGACTTTTCTGTAAATTCAATACTAATTATATATATTTTAATATAATAGTATTCTTTCATATTTTAATAGGCTAAATTATATTCAATTAAAAATTATAAAGATTATTATGATGAAAATAAAATACTTAAAATATATGGAATATCTCAAAATCCAGATACAAAGGAATACATTATAGTTCTTGATTATGCAAAAGGTGGAAATTTTAATTATTGGATGAACAAAAATTATAACAATTTTGAATGGGCAAAAAAATTGACTATACTTTATAATATTAGTAATGGTCTTAATGATATTCATCAAAAGAAGATGGTCCACCGTGATTTTCATACAGGAAATATATTGTTAAATATTGCTGATGTAACTGATAGTATTAATGATAGTGTTATACATATTTCAGATATGGGATTATGTGGAGATGTTAGTAATATCAATCAAAGTAATATTTATGGAGTTATACCTTATGTAGCTCCTGAAGTGTTAAAAGGGGAACTTTATACTCAAGCAGCGGATGTATATAGTTTTGGTATGATTATGTATTTTGTAGCAACTGGAAAACAACCTTTTGCTGATTGTGCACATGACGAGTTTTTAGTATTAAATATTTGTAATGGAAATAGACCTGATATTAATATGCCAGAAGCACCAAAATGCTATATTGATTTGATGAAGCATTGTTGGAATTCTAATCCAGATAATAGACCAAAAGCAACTGAAATTTTTGAATCAATTAAATTATTTTCCGGCTGCTATAATGAATATGATATAGATTTTAAAGATTATATAGGAATTGAAAAGGAACAACAACATTATGAAATGGAAAAACAATTTAAAGAAGCAGAAGAATACAGAAAATTACATCTCACATCATTTGATCGATTAGTTACTCATCCACAAGCTATTTATGCATCACGATTACTTAATCCATTTACAAATAATATCCCAAAATATGATAATATTGACAATAACACAGTAGAAATTATTGATTTTACAAAGTAAGCTTTATAAATTTTATATATTTTATAATTTTTTATAATTTTATTTTATTTAATCCAAAACAATTCTTTATATAGATTATAAATCAAAGATGATACGAAGGAACGAATAAATTTATTTTTGGCATGATAAGTTAGCTAGATTGAAAATAACCTATAGTATTATATTATTTATTCTTATTTTATATATTTGTTCAACACTTGATTATAGAGTACATGTAAAATTTATTTTTACAGAAATAAAATCAGTTTGTAATTGAGCAAATAGCTTCAAACTTATTTAAATTCCTGATTTACAATGAAAAACTATTATCTTGATCAAAACTATAAAAATAATAGCATTATAGACTATAATGTTGTAGACTACAATGTTATAAGTAAAATTCCTAATGATCATTTTTTTCTATTATACCTTCATTGAACATCTAAGATTTTTGAAATATCCTAACGAATATCTATTACGTATTAGCAAATTTATCAAAGAAGTTGACTTTATGTCTATTGTATTAAATCTATTCCTTTTAGATTACAAATTAATGAAGAAATTTGAAAAAATAAAAATTACTTTTATAATTTGCTTTTACTAAATTAATATAAATTGCAATAGGTAATTTTAAGATCGAAATTTATTTAGTAAATTAGTGATGATAAGTGTGACGGTTTTTATTTATGAAAGTTAGTTCGCACAAAGTATTTATAATTAAGCGGTCTCAAAAATTGTATTTTTGAAGGAGCTTTTAATTTTATTTAATCATGTTGTGATTTAATATTTATGAGTAACAATATTATAAAATTATTTATTAAATCTCTAAAATGCACAAATCAAAATCTTTTTATTTTATACTTTTTAATTATTTTTTATAACAAATAAAGAATAAACTACATGTATAAAAATAAACAAACAAATAAATAAATTGATAAACATGGATAACTTTTTTTTTCAATATTCTCTTTAAAAAAGAATAATCTAAAATCATTTTTTTTTATTCCAAATTTGTGTGATTTAGAACTGTAAATGTTTTTTTATTTTGTTTAAAAAATAAAATTAAAGGTTTGTCCAATAAACCGTTCACCAGATGATTATAAAAATGCTGTTACCGAAAGGAATAATTTCTTGTTTCGTAAACGTTGAAAAATTCAAAAAATGACAAATTTAAGAGATGCAAAGGTATAAAGTATTACATGGATGAATTTTAATAGTTAACTTGATTATCTTATGATGAAATTGTTGTATTTGTCTACATCTATAGATGACGATCGTGGAATAATTTTTCTTTATAAAATTAATTGTAAAATTTTTTGTAAATTTTGTAAAGAAAATTAATGTATGATTCTATGATATGATAGAGTCCATTAATTAGTCATTAATAAAGCATAAATATAGCATATGCCATCTCCAGGTTTAAATCAGAAAGAAATTATTGATCTGAAAGCCACATGATTTAGACCCGATCTGCGCCAGGAACTGGTCACAAATCAGGTGGGTTGATCGGCTAAATATCGAATAACGGAATAAGTATACAAAATAATATTTTTTTTTACCAACAATAAAATGTGCGCATAAATTATAAGAAAACTTTTCATTAGGTAAGATAATGTTTTCTATTTAACAACAATACCATAGTGTTAATGCTGACTGTTATACGGTATGTTTTTAATTAATATTCAAACTTATTGAGTAATATTCTAATAATTTTTAGTGGTGTATTGAATTTACGGTATCATTAATAAGGCAGAAAAAAAAACGAAGATCTAATGTAGTTGTAGAATCATTATTTACCTAATAAAAAAAAAATAAACTTACAGTATTTTATTCTAAACAGTACATCATATTATTAATTATTACAGGAACCATTCGAGCGTCTAAAGCATTATAATCACAAAAAAGCCATGTTGCAAATATTTGATTTTGAAATAATTATATAATCGTGTTACACCAGTCCTAAAATTTCGTTGGCCATTACACGCAACATGACAGAGAATTACGTAAGTATTGTTACGTACCTATTGGTTCATCATGTTCACTAATGGTTATAGGATGGTCCTTATGTTAAAGATCTTTCTCACAAGGCTAGTTTCACAAAGTTTTGGAGCCCTTCTCTGGTTAAACTCTTTAAGTTACAACATCAGAACTCTTTATAAAAAATATAATAAATTAAATTATACGCAAAGAATAAAATAGTCACATTATCCTATAAATTGATCAAATATTTGGAGATACTGAATTCCTGATAAAGTTCAAATTTTAACTCTTTCAAGGTGACTAACTAAATTTGATAATCAAATATTTACACGAATTAAGTAAACCGCAAATTTATCTGTGTTAATGCACCAATTTATTACTTAAGAATCAGTATAGAAATTTTTGAGTTAATTTCTTGATCTAATCAAATGTGGAGACATTGAATTTCAATTGGAATTTATATTAGAAAACTTAACACACTTTTGATATTGTTTAAACAAATGATTATAATATAAATTTATTTATTTTTTATTGTGTAAGCGTTATATACTTAGATATTTTAAAAACTAGTGACACTAATATATAAAATAAAAAATATACTTACCTCTTTATAATTTGAAATACTTCATAATCTTCCATATAAAATCCACCTTCAGAATCTCTTATCTTTTTTTCATAATTACCCCTTCCATAAGAAATATATTTATTATCATAACTAGAAAACATAGCAATATCACTAAAATATGGACTACTATAACCATAATATAATGCACGATCTGTATTTTTTATATTACTAATTATTACATTTTTAGCATTATTATTTTTAACAGAAAAAATAAAACAATCTCTATTTTTAATCCAACTATTAGAAGCTTCCCACTTCAGAGGGTTGTATCCACCAAGTATTTCTTCCGTTCCTTTTACTTTAATAAATGTAACAGTATAAGGTTTACCATTACATAATTCGTAAAATTTTTTAGAATAAAATCCATCTCTACTTCCTCTTAATAATAATTCAAATTTGTACGGCAAATATAATTCTCTCAAGTGATCAAATTTATTATTAATGACCATCTTATCAATTCGTCTTGAAATTGTTGAAATAATATTTAAATTATTAATAATATTTGAATTAATAATTCCATCAATTTTAATATTTCTAGGAAGTGGAATATTTTCAGTTGGTTCACTATCAGGATCCAAGTGAGAATTTAATAAATTTTCATAAAATTGACGTTTAAAGAGATTTTTATAAGGATGAACTTTTTCTAAGAATTCTTTGGATGATAAACTAAAAAATCTAATTAAAGGTAAACAATGTTGTAAAGTATTTTCCATTTTTTTAAAATCATCATTTGACCAAGTATTAGAATCTGGAAGAAGTGTATGATTTTGTTCGAGACCCCATTTTAATACATGTTCCCAAACCTCAATTTCTTTCATTTGTAAATCATCTCTTTTAATAAGTTGAACTAAAGATTTTTCAGGAAGTGAAGTGAAATCAAGTGATTTAAATATTTTTTCTGGAGATTTTACCATAAAATCTGTACAAAATTGTTGAATTTTTATTAAAGAATTGGATTGAAAACTTGTTCGATGAATTAATTCAAAATGTTGTTCCATCCATTCAAATTTATTTTCAATCAAATATGTTTGTAAATAATCAACCAGTTCTTGAAGAAGCAGCTCATCAGCAGCTAATAAAATTTTAAAAATTTCTGAATTATCTTGGTCATTCAATGGGAGAATACCACCATAAATATATCTAAATTAATATAAATATTATAAAACTTTCTATTTATTATAATATCAAACTTTATTTGTAAATAAACTTACTTTAAAATAACTTGGAAGACTTCAGGTGATATATTTGGTAACTTAATATGAGCTAAAACATTATCCTTATTTTTTTTACTAGAAACTAAAGTTCGTCGTAAATATGGAGAACGGTAACACAAAATATTTGTATGAGCACGAAGGATTTTTATATTAGGGTCTTTACCAACTTCAATTGTAATATCATAGTATTCATTATCTTCTAATAATTCAATATAGTTTTGACTTAACTTTGAAAGAAATTGTGTCGCCATAACTTATATTTTTAAATTTCAAACGAAAAAAAAAAATTGTTTTAATTTTGAGAGGGGCGTATAAACTCAAAATATAAATTTTGGTTAATACTTTTTATTATAGCTTAACGATCGCTTATCAGTTTGCTTATTTAGTAATGTAATTGTTATAATTGTTTCAGATATGGTTAAACTAAATTAAATGTAATTCTTTTCCAAAATAGAATTTTTTTACTGCGCCATAATACATTATGCAAGAATGTGTTTTGTCAAATTAATTCTCATACAATATACCAGAATAGATAATTTCCAAAATTTTCAAAAGTTTTATCATGTATATACAATAATTGACAAATGATTGTTTTTCGATCATCACATAATAGTATAAATGTATAATACAGTTTTATAAAATAGCATGAGCGACACGTACATTTGCTCTAAAATCATAATACATAAACATACTTCTTTTGCTAATAATCAAAACCAAGCTACTTTTATTTATTTCATCTAAGCTATTGTGCAAATAATTACTACTTTTATCTTCCTTCTCTACTTTTCTTGGTCTATATTTCGAGAATTTGATTAAAGTGGCATTCTTATACGCTTCAGTTCCTTTTAATTTCCTACTCTCATTCGTTACTATATAAAATCCTCTATTTAAGTCAAATTAGTCAAATTGAAACTATTCTGAAACTAATAAATACATTCTTCAGAATTTTCGTTCATATCAACAACCATTTATGTAGTCATAACTTACTCAAAATTATTGTTATTCGGGGCTGAGCGCTTTAATTTATTTACATACTTCCACGTATTAAATACTGCTTTAAGCCAAGATCATTTTTCATCTCGGATTGAAAAATTAAATGTTGTAAGCAAAGATTACTTTATCAAATTTTCTTCATATATTGGGAATAAGTCAATTTTTAAAGGAAGAGAACTTAGAAAATAAAAAAAAAAATGAGAAAAAAATTAATTAGGCGCTTGATCAACAAATAAGACAACAATCGCACCCATGATCTTTGGTCTTTTTACTATAGAGTATCTGTTATTATACCGCGTTTCCTAATAGTCATCCGGGACGTTAAACCAGTATCAGCCTTGAATCTCACTACCATCACGGCTCCGCCATAATGGTCAATGATATTTACAGCTTCTCGTGCGTGAAATAACTATTACGTATTTATTGTATTTATTTCGAATTAACGATTTTTGATTTCAAGCAGTGTTTGCGTCTAA